CCCCCCCCCCCCCCGCCCCGGCAAGGTTTCTAAATCACAGTAATGCTCAGAGAGACTCGGCTGCCTAGTGAGGTGGCAGAAAGATGCTCCGTTCCCAGCTAGGATGCGTCTAGCAGAAGAGTTTGAGGAAGCAGTTCTGACAGTAGGGCTTGTCATTCTGTTCCTTGAAGGTTCCTTTGTTGAGCTGCTTGAGGCAGAAGGCACAGACAAAGTGTTCTGGGTGAAATTTCTTGGCCATGGCGGTGATGCAGCGTCCCGTGATGGGCTTCTGGCAGCCGGAACACAGCGAGCCGCGGCGTTCGTGATAATGCACCTCACAGTAGGGCTGCCCATCATGCTCAAAGAAGCTGCCGTTGATGAACGGCGTGAAACATTCCTGTAGGAGGTGGAAGCAAAAGGGAACAGATTGATACGGCAAGCTGGGGACACAGGCAACTCCACAATCCATGCCTTCGCCTTCCATGCCCCTAGCTGCCTCCTGCAGGAAGTGGGCAGGGTGAATCATCTTCATCCAGCAGAAAGGGGCTGCAGAAGTACTGCTGCAAAGATGATCGGTGCCCAGCAGACACAGGGTTACTGAGCGTAAGCAGGGCAGATACAGCAACTGGGAGGGAAAATAAAGCCTTCAATTATACTTCATGTCCCTTTACTCCAGGCTGGCTTTATTAACACAAAGAAAATCCAAACCCAAGAGCAAAACTACTGAGAACACTTGGTAAGCAACACCAGAGCCTCTCCTGCTTCCAATAAGCTGGGAGGGAAGAGAACACCCCCATCCACAGAGACAGCTGCCACCACAACAGCTTTTAGAGCCCACCCACCCCAGCTCACCCAGGTGACAGGCAGGGAAGAATTCCTTATGCTCCAGGGCATCAGGAGCACCTTTTACCTTGTCACAATGGGCTGGTTTTAATTTCTTTAGCTGTATCTGCCCTGCTTACACTCAGATCATTGAAAAAGAAGGTGACGGCCAGTAGGGTTTTTTTTTAAAATTACCCATTTAGAATGCCAGATATTATGCATATTCCCTGGGACAGCGCCCTCCTTCTTGACTCATCCCAAACTATACACATACAAGAGTCACTTCACCACTGAAATACAGTGGCAGGCACAAGGTGACAGCCACTGGAGAAATGTGGAGGGGGAGAAATTTTGGGCAAGGACCCTGGGGGACAAGTCCATACCCTTACAAAAGCGATACTGGGTCTTTAATGCCTATGAAGAGAAGCTGTTAGAGACCAATTTTTTAATAGGCACCCATCTCTCTATAATGGTTATCACTGTCTAAGCCCACACAGGTATTAATGGCTGTACCTTCACTACAGTCATGGGAAGTTAGGAGGAATTCCCCCCCCCTTTTTACAGGTGGGAAAACTGAGGTATAGAGCCATTAAGGGACTTGCCCAGGGTCACACGGGTCAGCAGCAAAGTCAAGAACAGAAGCCAGATGTCCTGAGTCCTAGTTTTGTACTTGAACGTCTAGCCCTAGGGACACGCACAGTACCGCAAGTGCACGCATAGTTGGACATCTACTTAGTCACAGGCAGATGCAAACTGAGCCCTGCGTGCAGGCATCCAGCAGGGTGCAGCCACAGTAAGTGCATATCCAGGCACGTTCGCACACAGTGAACTGCGAGGAACTCCAGTTGCCTGCAGCATTGAAAGGCAGCAGGTACCTGGGAGCCTGATGCTGAGACTACTAAGCCATCCACCTCCATTCGAAAACAAACACTGGAAATTGGCCTGACTTTAACAACAGAAAAACAGACTCTGCCCAAAAGTTGCTGCCCCCACGAACAGGCAGCAGCGTGAAGAATGCCGAGCAACATCTCCTGAGCAGAAGAAGAGCCTGAAGCCAGGTCCAGGCAAGGACGGAGCTGGTCAGCTGCTCACAAGAGACTGCCAGAATTTCTATTCACAGGGGCCTTCTGAGTGATGGAGAGTTTCAAAGGGACAGCTTCAGCCAACTCCTTTCACGCTGGCTGCTCTGCAGCAGAGGAGAGCAGACTAGTGGTCTGAGCACAGGATTGGAAACAGGAACTTATGGGTTCTGACCCTCATTCTGAACTCCGCCTTTCTGCCTCTGTCTCGGTAACACGTGGCTGCTATTCATCTTTACACTGCTCCTGGGAGATGGGTCAATATTTGCAAGGCTCTTTGAAGACGTGCTAAGTATTTATTCTGCAGCATTACAGTTCATTATGCAGCAGCGTATTCAGTTTACAGCTATTTCATTAGTTTCCAAGTTGATCCAAATAGGTCAGTCTCATTAAGTTGACATTTCCAGAGTGAGCACACGAGGAAGCTCTTCAAATCAGGGTGCTGAGGCGGAGTGCTCAGAAAGCTTAGCTCACTATTACTAAGAAACCACTGGAAAAATTCTGTGCTTATCAGTGAACTGCTGCAGAAGCCCATAACTGTGGCTATGGGGGAGAGGGAGGGAATTAAGCCCCTAGAGAATTTAATGGAAACAGGCAGAGAAGCAAGAGGGTGCGTGGTCACTATCACACTATGTATTTTGTGGGGCTGGCTGTCCTGTGCTGGCCCAGACCCCTTGTTCTGATCGAGGTAACCACCAGACACCCACCTAGGGGACTTGGGAGAGGGGTCAGGTGACAGTGGGCAGCACAGGCTCTCTTACCCGACAGACAAAGCACTCAGGGTGCCACAGGGTATTCAAGGCAGAGATGTAATTTTCCAGGATGGCCCGGGCGCAGCCCCCACACTTCGGAGCGAACATGTCGAAGTAATCCTTGCGGCAATAGGCTTTGCCATCCTTCTCATGAAACCCTGCCAAGGACACAAGGGAAAAACAGAGCCAGACAGCATCAGCTTGTGACCTTCCTTCATGGGAACACCCAGCCAGACTCCATGGGGCTAACAGGGTGGCTGGGATCCCCAGTCACAGACCAGAGGTATCCCTTATTCTGCTATAGGAGGAGCACATGCTACGCCTCCTGTAGTCTCCATGTGGAAATAGCAATCACTGTTAGCTCCCCATCCACTAAGTAACACCACAGTCCCTCTCTACCCCCACACCCCCAGTTTTCTACATCACTTGCTCTAGGACAGTAGTCCCCACACTTTTCATGTCGTGCCCCACCTTACCTCTGTCCGCGCCCCACTCCCCGAAGCTGCGGTCCGGAGCGGGGCCGTGACTCCTGTGCGGAGGCGCAGACAGGCTAAGGTGGGTGAAGATGGGGCTGGAGACCTGGCTGGGAGTGGAGTTGCAGCCGGGGCTGCGGTCGGGAGCGGGGCCACGACTCCTGGGGGGAGGCGCGGACAGGCTAAGGTGGGCAAGGATGGGGCTGGAGCCCGGGCCGGGAGTGGAGTTGCAGCCGGAGCTGCTGTCAGGTTCAGAGCCGCAGCCAGGCCAAGCGCCAGAGGACGGGGCCACAGCTGGGAGCAGAGCGGGGCTGAGTGGCACTTCCTCTCCACCCCTTATGGGGGCTAGACTGGGCCCTGATGCTCCCCCCAAACATGCCCCACAGTTTGGGGACCACTGCTCTATGGA